CTACTAGGAGCAAGGACGCTACTAGGGGCTCCTGGCCGTACTACTAGGAGCAAATGTTCGCTACTAGGGGCTCTTGGCATTACTACTAGGAGCAAGGACGCTACCTGGCCGTACTACTAGGAGCAAAGGACGCTACTAGGGGCTCCTGGCAGTACTACTAGGAGCAAGGACGCTACTAGGGGCTCCTGGCATTACTACTAGGAGCAAGGACGCTACTAGGGGCTCCTCCCCGTACTACTAGGAGCAATGTTCGCTACTAGGGGCTCGTGGCAGTACTACTAGGAGCAAGGACGCTACTAGGGGCTCCTGGCATTACTACTAGGAGCAAGGACGCTACTAGGGGCTCCTGGCCGTACTACTAGGAGCAATGTTCGCTACTAGGGGCTCCTGGCATTAGATACTAAGATACCAAGGTCTGAGTCCGAATTCATCTTTTTCATCCACCAGAACTGCTGGGAACAGAACGGTCCGAGGATGGACCCATCTACGACCGTCCGTCAGAGGGTCAGGACGCCCAACACTTCCCAGGCACAATCGGCCTTCGACACCGGCATGTGGGCTTCCTCCAAGGCCATGGTGGGTGTGGTGAGGTTGATCCCGCGGTGCAAGAATGACAAGGGGATCCGGTTTCTTCCAAGGAGGACACGTGGTCAGTTGAGAGGCAGTTGAACCTGGCTTGTTGGGTCAATCCAAGACGTCTTCAGCTGTCCCCATGCTTTCTTCCAGTTTCAAGTTTCAAGCGATTGCTTGAAATTTGTTTGGAAGTGTGCGCCACATGCTTAGCCGTCTGAGAGGACTTCGGCGAAATGTCGACTTGGCGCCTGCCTTCATCTCGCTCCAGTCAGTCTTTGCAGTGGATGCAAGTTCGGTACCTCGGGGACTGGCAAGTCTTTTGGTCGGACTCTCTTGATCTGTGGCTCTTGACTAAGTTTATGCTTTCTGGCGATGTCTTGACAATGTCGGTTGTAGCCTGCTACTTTCTTTTGGCCCCGACGCTTTTCGCAATTTGGGAGTGGCCCGAACTCACTCAAGAATTCACAATAGGTGTTCACATGCTGCCACACATATCCACAAAAACCTTGTTACAGTCCATATTAAGTTTTCACTAGCATCCATCAGAATCAGTTTGCGTGTCATTGGCTGCCAAGGCAGCGACGACAGCAGCATGGAGTTCATGGATGCTGTAGCCGGGCTGTCGCTGGGCAGAAACACGAGCCACCAAGTAGATCGTTTCAAACCCTCAGGGCTGAATGGCTATCCAATGTCTATGGCCTTCACTTGCTGAGCGCCATGTTCTGTTAGGTCCGGCATACCCTACACGCCTGCTCAGCTGCAGACCAAGCGGGACGAGTGGAGGAGAGCCTCTGAGTTTTTTTGAACCTCCAATTGGATTCATTTGTGGAAGATGCCGGAATACACTCCACAACTGTGTCCAACAGGTCAGAAATGTAGCCCAGGAATTGAACAAAAAAGCCAGCAGTGAACAACGATCGCAATGGACCCGATTGTTTCAGCCATAATTTGCCATTGCCTCACCAGCTGTGGAGTGATCCAACCTCAGATGTTTCAAATATGATCACATTTGACATCATCTTACGTGTTACATAATATGAAATATGAACTAATCCCATTATCATACATTAGTTATTCAATATATGATATGTTAATTTCTAATGATATATTATATACTTATTATATATATATATATGAGTTGTTATGTAATATCTCACGTGTAAGACAACTGATATGAATTAATAGGATCAGCGGTTCTGGGTCCACTCCAAATCGGAGGAACCCCACGGTGACGGAGCTGCCGAGCGTGAACGTGACCCCTCCGCCCACGCAGCAGAGGGCCACGCTGCCGGGAGTTCTCGGAGCGGGCGGAGAGTGCTGTCACAGACGCCCCCGACCACAGACATCCCATCAGACCTTTTTTTTTCATTTAGACAGGTAGCAATCAGGCTGTTGATACCTTAAAACGACTTGTTGGAACCTAAACAGAGCTGAGTGTTTTTGACATCTTTACAGCAGATTAGCAGATTTTGCGAGTCACTAGTCTTTCATCTTTTGGACCGATGCAAGTCAACGGGTGATCTGGGTTTGTGGATCTCCAAGGAACAGCAACGATTGCTTGAGGGGTGAGGAGTATTTTGCAGGGCCTGAACCTCGGATTTGGGCTTTAAGGTGCAACATCGTGTCTGGAACATAGAGACCTGGTAAGTTGGAACACGACACATAGATGTTAACAGTTCTTTCGCGACAAGCACGGCACCCCACGGTGCTCAGGGCCTGCTATGCCAATTGCAGTGCCGGGAATCCAATTGCTGTGCTCAGTGTCTACAACTTCATGCTTGCATCCGGTTACCGATTTCTTGCACAGTGTGCCCCGCAAAGACAGTTGATTTATATAGTGTCCCGATTTCTGGTATTTTCTGGCGGGATTTACATGTCTGATCTAGGGGTCGCCCTGAAGTGCGCTGCACTCCGGCCGAGAGCCTTCCACCCTCCGGCTGAGAACTTGACGGCTGGGCAGTTTCCCATCAGATCGAGTCCAAACACCTGTGGAGCGCTCAGCCATTGGCCAGCAGCAACTAGCAGAACTACCATTGTCATGCAGAACTAGCATGAACTAGCAACTATATAGAGAGAATCTTCTTGTCTCTTCCAACAGACATTATCAAAGATGACGCAATACATAAGAGTTCACTCGACTATGAAGCTGCAGGTTGCAAGCGAGAACCATGCATCTTGTGCCTTAGATAGCATCAGAACTGAAGACAGAGCGAAGTGGGCTGTGAACGAATCAAGGTAGTAACAACTTTTTCCACTTTGTAGATCGTTGATGCACCTCTAGTACTCTAGTACTGTATGTTCGTCTGCGTGCCCGCTTCCTGTGGAAGACTGCCAACCACTGGCTTTACTAAGTCCTAGTCTTTTGTCATTCTCTGGGTACTTCGTTTGCATGGGCTATGGAGCATCTCGGCAAGAAGGGTGGGTCAATTCATGTCCAGCAGCGATGGGAGACATTTTGCCCAGGCATCTTGGCTTCAGAGAGACCATGTGAGCAAATCTACTACAGAATCCTCTGTATTTTTTTTATATTCCTTGGTGGGAAAGCGAGCTCTTGGGAGATGGGATATTCAATATTCAACTAGGGCCTTTGACAAACTCTTCGCAAAGATTATCCTGCACTAGTTGGATTCTTTATTGGGAACGTATCACTGTAGGTGGATATTTTTTTGTACAGTAAGAGGATGCATTTGGATCGGCTTGATGTCTGAGGTAGATAGCAGAGGTGCTTGCAGGGAGCCTTGATGTTAAGACTTCCAAACGACTTTCTGCTGTCAAGTGGGCTTTGCAGCCACATAGGAAGAAGAATCCCGAGGCCCTAGACAGCCGGGCAAGTGCAACAGCGATGAGGAGCCGTTGAGTTAAAACAAAACCTTCAAGATGTGTGCATGCCTCACAGAACCCGCCTCATTGACCTGGGGGATTACTGTAGATCAGATGGTTTTCTTTCCAAAGGCTTAGCGGTCAGATGCGACTGGTGACCGGATCATGAGCACGGAAGAAGATCATAAGCAGATACTGGTGTCAGCAACGTGCTGGATGCATTCGATTGGAGAACACTGGTGAGACTCCCAAGTTTGCATCCCGATTGACCTGCCACCAGCCCCCACCAGTTTAAAGTGGAGCCTGTTCAACTCAAGAGCACAACCTAGGAGCTTTTTGAGGGCCAATGCTACAGACAATGTGCTGGATTCTTGGAGTCGACGTTGCTACTCTGCTGTTGGTTGCATGCTTATGACATCCCCAAAGGATTCCACAAGACATCTTCTTCTAAGAGCTTCGTATTGACCAAGACCACACACGCCTCAGATTCGCCCCACCCCTTTCCGACTCAGGGAACACTCACGCAAAATGAGTATCCTTACCGCACAGGCATGGGAATAGTGCTGAAAGCCGCAGTCGAGAAGATCAGAAATCAGAAGTCTTAGTGGAATCAAATGTTGAATACTGAATAGCTGTACTAAAAGTAGCGTCCTTGTTACTAGTAGCGATGCCCTTTGTTCCTAGTAGCTTCTTGTTACTAGTAGTAAGGCCAGGAGCCACTAGTAGCGTCCTTGCTCCTAGTAGCGATGTTCCTGGTGAGATTTCCTCAGCTGCCGGGTTCCGCTCTTGAGCAATGCATCTTAGCTTTGCAAAAGATCCCTCTGAGTAGCCAGGTCCATTGAGTTGCTGCAAGTTTGAACCACCTTGCTTCAACCTCTTCAACATCAAGTCGGAGGCCCACGAATACACCGTCACTCTTGTTGGCCAAAAGTCGGTGATTAGCATGACTTTCTGGCCAGTTCTTTGGTTCCCTTTGCGAACAGGCTCCATTTTGTCACTGCTGTGGTGTTTTCTTCGTGCCCTGAGATGGCACTACCTCAAATGCACATGCCCCCTGCAGCGGAGGGCATCGGCCCCTGCAGCGGATACAACGTTGGTGGCATTAGCCATGACTGCCCGTGCCACAGAGATGATGAGAACACCGGGTACGAGTTGTTTCTGTTTTTTTCCCGAAAGAATAGCCGTTTGCATGATGAACTCGTACTTCGATGGATTAGACCTGACCAGTGACCTGACCCGTGGCACCGTTTCGACCAACTCCCACGTTTGATCGACCAATGGTCAGGGCCAAGCCGGCCAAGCAAAAATCTGACGAATTCTTCTTACACATATCGTTGGTGTTGGCCGAGCCATGTTTTCTTGCGACGCGGCCCAGTTTCTGGAAGGATATATAGCTTCTCTCACAAAAACATTAACAGAGTCTCACATCAAGAAGTGCGCAGAAAGAGGACCTTTGGGCAATGACAAGTAATTGCCACGGTACTTGGGTATGGCTCAAGAATTGTGTACCCAAAAATATGAAAAGTAATCAAGCAACTGCATTGGTCCGTATGAGGTTCACACTTTTTGAAACCCACTCGAGGCGCCCATGACCCTCAAGTGTGAGCACGCCAGTGGGGCGAGGATTGGCAGAGGAGGCTTCTTTGCGGGGCGGGAGAACATGTCCCATTCACGGCTTGTTACCCCAGCAGCAAAAATGGTTTTTGGACACCTGGGGCCCGGACAAGGAAACATCATCAACATGTTGTATCAATGATTTGGACCACCTTGCTACAACATTGCCGCGCTCTCTGGCGAAAGCTGACTCACGCCCTCGGCCTTCGGTATCCTTTTGTGCGGCCATTTGCATGTTTCACACCTGTCAAGGTTCTTTGATCATGGCGAAAATGACGATCTGGCATGGATGAAGCAATCTCAAAGCTGATGATGTTGGAAAGACTCAATCTTTTTTGGCAACACGACATCCATGGATCGAACATTGGTTGGCATCATCGGTGGAAAAGCCCGTGGTGCTTGGGGTGAGAGCGGGTAGCTGGCTAAATTAAATTGGTTGCCAGATCGATGGAATGATGCCGCACCAACCAGCAGATGCTAGTTACATGGGTTTACAAGTACTTTCTGTGCGGTATCAACTTAATGGATCTTAATCGTACGATATGCAGCGGTCCGGTTTTTCTAGTGGTTTGGGTAGGGAGAGACTTCAACTCAGCAGATCTTGGTACTGCTACCTTGGAGCAACTTGATGATGAGGAAAGGAGAGACAACAGCTCAGAAGTAGTTTCGTGTGACGATCCTCTCGGTCGGCCGAAGTTGTTTGTCCATCCACCACAGTCGGGTGCCACCACGCCACCGCTGGTCGTGTTGGTCGTGGGACTTTGCCAGCTCCAACGCCGTTGGCGCGGCGATAGACCCGCGATCCCGCCACACCCGCGCGATTTAGCGCGGGCGGAGTGGTCCTTTTTCGCATGGCTTTGCGGTCGGGGGGCCTCAGGGGCCTTCGGAGGTACAATGCAGCGATTGGAAGAAATGCTTCGATACTTGGTCCTCACAGGGTCGCGGGTTCTTTTTGATCCTTGTCAGAAAGGTGGTAATGGCTTGGCTGCATGGATCTGCGTCGCGGATATTCCGGGCGACCGAGTTTGCCTCGTTGGGCGAATACATGGTTCAACACGACCGGAATTGACAAGTCCAGTCGTGTGGTCCTCTTTATCTTCAAAGACCCAGGCGATCCATGAGCAAGATCAGTGTGGGAGAGGCGAAGCATGCCAGAGATTGCCAGAGGGTTTTCGTTCGCAGAAGCAGTTGCCAAGATCCGATGTGATAGAATGGCGATAGGCAAGATCGATTGTGTTTTCAATTGCACACACCGGATGTTGATGGAGTTTCGTGTGGCATCCTGCTTGAGACCCCTTTGATAGCCGCTTGGTAGACCTACGTCAATGGCCTGAAGCTAGGGGAGCTAGGGGTGGACCTTGAGGCGATGATTCTCTTTAGTCGCAAGAAGCTTCTTGGTGGAGGCCATTGCTATTAGGTTGGAGGCCATTACTACTAGTAGCAAGGACTCTACTAGTAGCAAGAAGCTTCTGCAGGTGAGATCACTCTACCAGTTTCTGTGGGCCTCGTTCGAGGGCTCTCGAGTGCCCTTAGCTGCTCTCAGGGCGTGAGCAGCGCGCTTCAAGACGTCCTTCACCACATCCATGCCTTGCAGAAGGATCGCGAATGTCCAACGACGACGTACGTGCTATTTTCAGTCCAGTTGAATCCGGATATTTACCTTTTGGATCCTTTTGGTAAATCCACGTGTGAAGATCTGTGAAGACATCAAACATTGCTGTCTACACGGACATGCATGTTGTATAAGAGGTTCTTCTGCTGAGAGTCCAAATGACTCATTTTAGCACTATGGTAGTGGTGGATTAAGACTCCCAGGTGGGGTAAAATGAGTGATTGGAAGTTCTGGGTGTCCCTTTGACACAGCAAGACGCAGTTCTGCGAAACGAGCAGGTGCACCAAGCTCGCGCGCCAGGATCAGACTGCACAACTGCTGGGCTTGGATCGATTGGCCAAGCAGGTCGAGTTCGTTGTTGAAGTTCCAAAGGGAGAGCATCGACTTAGCACCTGCTGTCTTGGCACCTACTGTTCCAGTGGTTTGATTTTTCAGTTGTTTGCTTTCTTGTTGTTGTCACAACTTCGCTGGCTTCGCCGATGTTTTGTCCACTCATCTTACTGGAATGATGCTTGTTTCTAGTTTGTAACAGATTGCATCCGTGTTCTTGATTCGGTGGCTTTACCTAAAGGAGTGATTGGCCGCTAGCCGGTGCTAGCCTTTGCTTTCACAGTGTTTAGGCTTAGGCAGATAAAGCATGTTGGAATGAACACACATCAAATGCGAAAGATTCTTCAAGGCAAAGATTGAGCACCATCTCGTTAACGTGTCGTTTGCCGCTTGACGTATCAGTTGGCACACAAAACTAATCCATTTGTTTTTCCACGTGCATTTGTTCATTTCGATCTTCAGGTGGAATCACTCAGCACGGCCAGGGCCTAATCGGGCCGAAAGGGTTCATTCAAATTCTTTATGAAATCTTACATTTCCACTTAGGCCGTGCGTCTTGAAACTCTTTACTTATATAGGGGTCTTCCATTTCCGACTTGGTGGAGCCACAACTGCGCAGGAGAATTCAATTCTTCGCACCTTTGGGTTGGATTCAACGCTCACCAAAAAGGGGGTGTCCTGGATGTCTGGTTCAGTGACTGCATTGTGGGCCATGTGAATAACATCTCATTACATGTCGTTACAAGTCTTGGAAGACAGGGTGCAGTAGATTTTGACATCTTGACCTGAACTCTTCTCCTGCAGGTCATTCATTGTGCTTGGTTGGAGTCGGATTTGAGAAGACAGAAGATACTTGTAGCAATGTTTAACGTAGATGTGGATCGAAACAACGCAGAACTGAGCTTCCTTCGAGAAGGATGCTTGCCTTTGCCATTCGCTTCATATTGTCTTCAGCTCGAGGCCTCCTCACCAGGCACAGTATCTGGCAGCTTTGCTGCTGCGAGCTTTGCAGAAGTGAAACGGCAACAAAGCCCGACAGAGTCAGAACCAATGTCGGAAGAGCAGGCCGAACTTGTGCCTTTCGGGCTAAGCAACTTTCGGGTCACGCCACCGGAGAACGACATGGACCGATGTCGTTTTCTTCTTTTCTTTAGACCTTCTTTGTAGGACCTAATAAACTACATTAGCAATGCCCTCCAACCTAGTAGCAATGGCCTCCAACCTAATAGCAATGGCAATGGCCTCCAACCTACTAGCAATGGCCTCCAACCCAATAGCAATGGCCTCCAGCCTACTAGCGATGGTGGCCAAACAATAGACATAGAATTGAGACACGTCTCCAACCGCAGTGTTCTTTCTTTTTAATGCTGCTGTTAGTCCTAGGGATTGCTCCCCATGATGGGTTAGGTGTCGAAGTGGAGGCCTAACGTGCAATGGAGTTTGAATTATGGTGAGAGATTGAGAGTGGCACAGCAGGTCCATGAGCTTGCCAGGCATGTGTGGCCATTACTTGTATTTATATGTTATGTATCTGTAATTTGTAACATGCTGAGCCTTCACATTCCTGTAAGTCTTGCTCGACTCCAGTTGTTTTACCACCTCTCCATGATCTCCCACTCCGTACCGGTTGCAGATTGCAAAGATAAACTCTGAACGTCGGGAACACATTGAAGAGCTGAATCGCATAGCAACTGACACCTGCCTGCAAAAGATTTCAGCCATTGACTCATGTTTCTGCTTTGACAACATTTTCTTGGCATTGTTTAGTTTGTCCACGCACGATTGTGCTGGGCACGCCTGCCAGCACCCACACACGCACACACACACACACTTTGACATTGGGTTTTCAGTTAACTCAGTTCCCAGGTCGAAGAAAGGTGATGGAACAGAAAGGTGAAGCGTCCAGGCACTTGAAGGTGTTTGAACAAAATGGTTTCTTCGTGACTGCAGAATTCAGCGGTGGCAAAACGAGCGGCGCGGCGCAGCTGCGGAAACTAAGGTTTCGGGCTGGTAGCATGAAGAACCATGAAATCAAACAGAGCAAATTAGGCAGCGTGGTCAAAAGTTCGAAAACTGTCGCAGGTACGTGAGTCGAGCGTCCTCGACTCATATCACAGGAAACGTGCAGCGTCTTCGTTGGTCGCTGACTGCACGAATCCCCAGCGACCCCCTGCGATATGGATCGAACAGAAACTCTTTGGAACAGAGTGTGACACACACACTCAGCCGCTTCGCGGCGCTCTTGCGGAAAACCTGAATAGGCACCTAAAAAGCCTTAGAAGCAAAAGAAAGAAAGCCAGAAAGAGCAGCGCTAAAAGGGCAAGAGAGAAAGATAGGCGTAGCAAAAAGTGAATACTTAGCCCTTGACTGGGGTAGGGAAACGAGCCTTAAGAACTACCTAAAAAGCCTGAAAGAAAGCCCAAAAAAACGAAAAAGCGGAAGAAAGAAAGCGCAAGGGCAGGGAGGTGTATGTACATGTGTGTGTCCGTGTGTGTGTGTG